AATACAGAAATATAAGTTATATTTATTAATAGATTCGTAATTTTGTTTAGTTATTTCTTTCAATCGAGAAAGTATCCACATACTTATAAGGAAATGCGCACATGCTTCCTCAACGCTATTAATTAATTATAATACTATAACGAGTTAATCCCAACCGCTTTGCAGACTCGTAAATCACCTATGATATATTTTCTAGCTACCAATTTTGAACGTTAATTATTGTTTAACGCAAAGGAGAGGCGCGTAGAAAATCAAAGAAGGATCCTGGCTCGTGTTCACGGATTTAGCCTTAAACCTCCGTTCCGCAATCCATTACGGCGTGACCAGCCGTCACGTCAAGGGTCTTTTTTCAATTTACAAGGTTGCTGGCCCGTGATTGCCACATAGTGAGACCCAGATTGCTTCTAACCAGCAGAAACGAAGGTTAATCGAGGTAGCTCCAGCCCATCCTAGCACTTCTTGTACCCCATGGCTTATAGACTTCCAGACATCCGCACGCGATAAATCCGACAGGGAAGCCGCTCCGGCTCTCAGCTTTATAGCCTGTCATTTCGTCTGATAGGGCCTCGATATAGACGACAGTGGATTACATGGTCGTGATATAATACCCGAGAAGGGAGTGTGCATCAAGCTCATACAAGCGCGAAGAATTTCTGATACGCTGTCTTTTGATTCCGATAGTTCATTGAGGAGACCTCTATGCCTATCGGGAATCTACGACGAACGTCCCTTCGCATTTGCAGCAACGCTCTAAGCGTGTTGTGTACGATCTACCGGTCGTAAAAGGGATTCGACTGATTGGAGGAGACGGTTCGAGCAGTAATATGCTTGGCCCTGCCCAGACAATCGATCTGCGCTGCGAGACATTTATATGCGCGAGGGCGATATACGTGTTCAGGGGCCATTTATGTGACTGAAATCATAAATTCTAACTTTTCAGTCGCTTGCCTCCATAGAATATTGAGAAAAGAGTTCAAAGCTTTCAGGACAGAGAGTACTCGTCAAATGGAGGAAAAAACGCCTAATAAATATTTTTTTTTTTATTATTATTATCAGATGTATAATAATTCTGCGCCTTTCTAAAGTAAACTCACCACTTAATTATGAATAAAAGACATACATTCTTTGAATCTCCTTCAGCCATGCATTTCAAGAGAGCACATAGTTGTAAAATCAAATGTCAAAGTAATCTGTGTGTTTCATTACTAAATATTTCTGTTTAAACTTGAGTTATAAATAATTAAATGTATGAAGGAAGAGAATTAATTTCTGCACCTGATTTTATAACGTACTCATGTACTTTAGAATTTATCCAGTTAAATGTTTCGTAAATTGTTTTACCGTCTTGTGCTTTAATATATGGAAAGTGACATATAGTAATATATAGAATGCGGATCTTTATGCAAAATAAAATATTCACGAACGTGCCTACAAAAATTGAACCTAAATAGGAATTTATTTTATTCTGCAAATATTATAGCACGAACTTTACTTTCAATCTTTTTTATATTCTTGCATATTGTTTGCATTTTGTAGTTTCTTCCTCATTCAAATTTCCTATAAATGCATAAAGATCCGCAGTCTAGTAATATAGTATAGTAAAGATATTTTATTTTTAGCCTCCTTGTGGTGGATATTTCATAGATTCTTGAAACTTGTAGTTCATTGAGATTTACCGTAGTCCTTTTTTTTATATCTGTTTGTGCGCATGCATATTTCATCGTATAGTTTTAGAACTTTTAGGTCTATTCCATTAATGTTTATAACGATTCCACTTTTGTAATCATTACCAAGAGACCATGTATCTTATGGCTCTTTGTTGCTGTCCCCCAGAATGCTATTTCATAAATCCAAATATGGCTATGAAATCCAATATCTGGGTTTCGCATGTTTTCAGCGAAAAAACATGCTAGAGGGTGAAATTGAAGATACGAGAGAATGGATATTTAACGGCAATAATACACGAAAGGTAGTTACACAATTATTTTAACGGGGAAAATTTCAAACTTTCAAAAAAGTTAAAACGTTCCTTGAAGAGTATTTCTCATCAAAAGCACCAAAATTTTAGGAAGATGGTACTCAAAAACTTATGGATCAGTGGAAGAAAGTAGTAGAAACGAATCAAAATTGTGAGAATGTTTAAACAAATCACATTTGTAAAAATAGTACAGCGGAATTTATTTAGAATAAAAACTCACAAAAATACCGTTCAAGCAAATACTATTACTTCAAAAAGAAATCTTTAATATCGCGCAACATTTACGAGTCCAAACTACGTGGATCCTTCAACATCACTTCGATCAGGGTTTCCTGTACATGGCATTGACGTCCAACGTGTCTAAACACCTACTCAGACCGAAACGCGCGCAATCGAACACCGATCTGAACACGAGCCAGCGGAAGAGACCGGGGGCCTGCATAAATCGATGACCCGCGATGGCGACCGTGGCCGTAGGATCCTCGCATTCCTCGTCACCGGCGTGGCAGTAATTAATTTCCTCTCGCCACGGTTGGATAATTAAATTCGATCGCAATCGAGACCATCAGAACGCTTCGTTCGCCAATGGAATGCGAGCAGAGTCCCGTCGTTTGCGTCGCGGCGTCGCGTGTCGGACACGTGGAGCGATGCAAATTCCCGAAGGCCTTCCGGCCGTGAGCGGAAAAATGAAGTGACCAGGGAGCCTAGGAGGCACGGGGCATCATGCCCTCGGTGCCAGGTCGTTGCAGTCCGCTTGCACTCGCTGCACCGACCAATTCATCTTGCAGATAGTATCGTGGACGGTAGGCAGGCGCTGGAGGAGGCTGGCAACGGCCACCAGGGACAGATGAAGGTGTTCCTGGCCCGATGTTCGATGCCATCGTCCTACACGCACGCATCAAACCCGGCTACGCGTAAATCCTGACCTTCGGTACACCCCCCTCTTTGCCCCGCCACCTCTCTTTTTTCTTCGTTCCGAAGAAGTTTTTCGCGAGCCTTTTACGACGACCGCTACGGCGCATTGTGGAGTAACTCGTAGCAACAGGTGCTGGCTCCTCTTGCTTCGTTCTTATCTCGCTTGTACGTTTCTCCTCATTTGTGTTTTACTCGTATTTTATGTCCTCGGGCGGAACGTATGAGGGACACGCGTTTAATTGGACCGTTTTTAATGTCGGCATTGGTTAAACAACGTTATGGCATCGTTACGACTTTGTAAATGTGACCGGGCGATTGGAATCGGGTGCTCTCGGTCGATTGGTCGAGGAGTTCGGCTAATTCTCAAGTTGTTTGGATTGCAACGATGCACGTGATTTGTTTTTGTACGATTTCGTCTGATTAATATAGCATTTTATTGATACCGAGTCTGATTGGCAGGATATATCAGAAGAGTCTGGAAATTATAGTTTATCGCGAAGAAACAATTTTGAAGTTAATTATACCTACGGATTACCATCCATAATTTATTCAGATATAGTCAGAATAAAGAAGATTTCATTTGTGATACTGGTCATGGTGAAATTGGAGCTCGCTTGTCGTTTTAAAAATAAATGAAATCAAAATACGTTTAATTATGAACTGGTATCGGTAGAAATTTTATGATATTGTTAAACTGAATTCAGTGTAGTTAATTAAGAGAATTTACTGTAATTATTTCAATGCAAACCATTATAATTACTCTCTCAACAAACGAAATTGGAAATTCTATTAAGGAAGATATAACATTTTTCCAAGCTAATGTGTGAGCAGCAGAAAATTTAAAGACCTCGTATTTTGTTTGAATACACTTTATTTTAAGACATTTCGATTGTTTTTACCTAAGGTTCTCTTCAAATATTAATGGAAATTGTTCGTTAGTGACAATTTAACATTATTTACGGATACTTCAAACTCAATTCCTTTGCTAATTGAAAAATGCGTAATTAGAGTAGGTAGAATGCAAAGTAGTATCAGAAAATACAATATGCCTGAATATTATTTCTGCACCATCACAACTGTCCCTTCTAAGGACTTCTACAATAAAATACAAAAAAATTACCTTTGTAGTGTATGGAGACAAGGTCAAAGAGGTAAACTTCACCGTCAAAGAGAGCGCTGCGAAGAGCAAAGGGTCTGTTGTATAGTAATCGTCTTGATAGAAATACCAATAAGGAATTACATCACTGACTCTATGTCCTTCTACAGGGTGCGGCAGAAATAACTCCCACAGTTTAAAAAACGATTGAAAAATGATGGTACGAGATAACACCAGATACTTTTGAAAATTCGACGGATTTAAGTCCATGTGACTTTTTTTGTGGGGATATCTCAAGGCCGAGATTTTCAAACATCATCTTTGGTCCTTGAATAAACTAAAGGCCATCGAAGACGAAATTGAAAGAATGAAAGAATGAGAGTGATGGAAAATTTTCAAGAACGACTCCAAATGTGTATCGCCCGTATATGCCACCATTTGGATGACATAATTTTTAAAACATAAAGTAAAAAAAACTTTTTTATATCTAGATTTAAGAAATAAAAAGTTTCTGGTGTTAACTCGTACCACTTTTTTTCAATCGTTTTTTAAAATGTGGGAGTTATTTCTGCCGCACCCTGTATATAGTAGTACTAATAAACTAATTAATACTCTTGCGCGAACCCTCTTAATATCCAGTATAATTCTTCAAGTATACTTCAATATATTAAAACCCTGTTATTTCGAAATTGATGTCAGTTGCATATATACATATATGATGTGTTGGCAGCGGGAACATACATGATGAGTGACAGTAAATACTAGCAATTTATTTTCGTCTATAGACAGTATCTAGACGATGCTTAGATCATTTTTGACGCAGAAACTAAATCATTACGCGAAGGTTGATCCTACTTCTCTCCTACCATGAATACGAATACTCAGATTTCTGATCCAAGCAAAAAATAATCCAAATTATTCTCTGTTCACGCTTTTCCATGTTTAACTTTTGAAGTGATACATTTCAACGATTCTTAGTTAACGCGATAATAGTCTTCTAAACTTTCTTACCCTTAGACTCAAGCCATCGATTTCGCCTTACGGCAGCACTAAACAATTATTCGACGGTACAACGAAACACGCCTACCTCGGCTACTATCTGAATTTTTCATCCAATAGCAAACCGAAACGTGACGAACGTTCATCGACTAGATACAATTGAAACGAAATACGAAATGTTGAGCCGCTTTGGAGGAATCTTGGATAGAACCTCAGTTCCCGCGCAACCGAACATCACTGCCTTTGGTTGCCTGAAAGAAGTGCAACAACGTAGTTACATATTTAAACCGATGTGCAGCCTTGTCTCGTTGAAAAAATGCAACGGAGGCATGACGCAAATCCGAGCTCGTGTTTAATCATGCGAGCAGAACAAAGAGCATCCGCATTGCTGAAGCGTTAGAAGGGTAACGCAGGCTAATCGCGATGGTGGTTGTACATCGAGAACGCCGGGGATAGATTTAGTGGGCTCAATAAGCGTGTATTACAATTAGTAATTACACCACGGATCGAATGTACACCGTGAAAAGCAACGTGGGCGCGCGTTCGAGAGAGAGAGAGAGAGAGAGAGAGAGAGAGAGAGAGAGAGAGAGAGAGAGAGAGAG